GAAGGCTTAAGAACCACCAGTGGGCTCAGGGTCAAAGACTCCTTCCTGTTTCAAACAGATTGTCCCACCCAACCCTGCACCTTGATTCCCAAGGATCACCTGTTTTCCTCACTGAAGGCCAGGGTCTTCCAAGCTTCCTCCTACTTCCTCAGTTTCACCTGTCTTTTGATTCACGACTGCTCACTTGGTTTTGACTGGTCTCCTTACTCTTCCTATTCACACGGCTTCATTTCCACCACATGCTTGTAAATGTTTTCTAGCTATGCCCTGAATCAGTTACCTACCCAGGCTTTCAACCTTGCCCTGAGATCTGGCGATCTTTCTCTGTCATGCTTATGTCCAAGACCCACACGAAGCTCTCAAAAGCTAAACAGAGCACATGGACCAGCCACCCTGAAGCCAGACTTCTGGGCCCCCTGCAACTTCGCCTGACCTTCCTAATCTCACCCTTCTCCAGTTAACCTCACGGAACACTCCTCCCTGTGTTAGCACACGCTAATCTCATCTCTGTGCCTAAACTTGCCTGGCTCATTCCTGTCCCCATGCCTTTGCTCTCAGGCCATACTTCCTTCTCAAAGAACCAACTCCCCACCCCTCCCACCAGGCACCATAAGCTTCCTCCCTCCACAGAGAAAGAAGCCTCCCCTAATCACCAGGTTTCCAGGGATCCTTCACTCTAAATTCCTACATCTCCCTATCACTCACCTGGTACCTTTAATAACTAGCAATCTGCTGAAGGTGTTTACCTTTTAATCTTATCTTTTCATGTGACGGTCATTTCCTTATGAGCATAAACCACAAAGTGCACTTTTAAAAACTGAATACTATAATAGAAATAAAATTCCCCCAACAAGATCAGTCTCAATTTTTCATGTTTCTTTCTAGCCCTTGCCCATTTCTGTTTACATTTTTAACATAGTAATAATCATAATAGTAGATTCAACCATATAGTTACACATACTGTTTTACATTCTGCTTTTTCTAACATAAAAAAGTCTTCCTCGTTAAATGGTTTTGATTTTCATTTTTAACGTCTGTATCTTATCCACTGAGAAACTAGACTGTGATTCACTTAAGCACTGACTTCTTTTCCTAGTCAGACATTACATTATTCTTTGTGTCTTTCGCTGTGTTGATTCTTCTCCGTGATTTTCACTGCATCAAGTACAGAAAAATTCAAAGCTAACCCTTGAGAAATACCTGTTAAAATAAATTTATTGTCCATGCTTCCTAACACCTGAAATAACCCATTTCACTGTTTTTTCTCTCTAGCTAAATTTCTAATGTAATTTCCGGTTTCATCACCTTAGGCTAGGTAGACAGCAAAGATATTTCCCAAACACTTTTTATATAGATTTATTTATTTTGATAGTTAATCTCATACATATTTAAACACTGGAAGCCCCTTGAGGGAAGGCAATAAGATCCCATACTAAGATAAGGTAGACACCTAGCAGGCGTTCAATAAATATTAAATATTTTTTAAGCCATCTAAAGTTATAAAACATCAAATTCCTGAACAGGAGAGTGTCGCTGATCTAACTAGTGCCATCAATTATGCTTGTAAAACTTTCGGCTCACTTAATAATTTCACTGGTTAATAATGTATGAATGGGTGTTCCTTACAGTTTACAGAACACAAAGAGGTTACCTGGTGAGCTGTACAGGTCTGAGAGATGACAAACAGAACTGCAAATAGAACTCCCAGATCTCAGGACAAAACAAGCTTAACCTCTTTTACTTTAGCTGTTTAAGTTCATACTTCAAATGAAGAAAAGCAAAAAAAAGGTTGTAGTATTAAAACTACATAAAATTACATATGCATGTAACTGGAATGAAAATAAGAAGATGAGTGTGAATTGTTAAGGTGGAAGAATGTCAGAGACATTTTCCTTTTTTTGTTTTCTTAGTATAATGTTAAAATGTATAACAAGAAAAACATTCCCGACAAAAGCATATTCATTAGTCATTACAATTCTTGCTATTATTGAAGTAGGGCCTAATGCTGAATGTTCAAATAACTAAGTTTCCCAAACCCACATGTAATTTAGGAAAAAAGACTGAAACACTCTTAATTCCATGATAAATGTTAAATAATAAACCAATTATCTACCTTAACACCTAAGCACAGTCAGATACTGAATCACATGAAGAAATTAATGGTACACTAGAAGCTTCTTGCAAATTTCAGATTTTCCTCAACAAGTAGCTAATGTGATTCCAACTATGAGTCTTTAGAGTAAAACTACATTATCCCAGGAACCCATTCTCATCTCATTCTCATTTGTGAAGAGTGATTTCTGAGGTTGCTTCCTGCACTAACCTGCTAAGGGAGAAACAATTATGACTAAAAGTTTACTATTCATCACAATGGTATACTATTACTTAATCCATTAATTTTCCCGGAAGTAATAATTGGTCACAGTAATAATTTTTTCAAAATTACCGGAAAGCAATGACTTTGTTTTAGCCTTTTTAAGCAAACTCTACACAGCAGTACAAAAATCACTGGCTTTAGAATTCCACTCGAACCTCTAGATTTATGTAAATGACTACTTTATGACAAAATAGAAATAGAACCACTTTTAATTATCTGTAGTAATCACTAAAAAAAAAAGTCCATGTGCATTCAGGAAATGTAAGGCTAGGTAAGAGATGGCACTAAATGAATCAGAAGGCAGTATACCACAAACAACGCGCTTCTACTTATAGGGTAATGGATCTATGCATAAACCTTAATTTTAAATGAGTTCAGCCAAAGGGACAACTAACATCTTTTCCAAAGCTAAAAGTATTATTCTAAGTACCCCCTTGAACCTCTGATACTGACAATTATTACAATCTAATCAATGACAATTTATAAGTAAAAAGGATAGTGCTTCCCCTGGAAAACTGAAACTCAAGGTCGGGGGAGGGGAAAGAGGAAAGAATTTTAATTATCCGAGATAGGTCTTTGGTGGTGGGGGGTTAGCTGCCTCTTTTTAGCACTGACATTTCCCAAGTTTTTCGTGAATAGGAAATTTTTTTAATGTGCCGAAATCATCCTTTCAGAATCAAATCCCAGCTAAGTTGTGTTTTCTGCGGCTTGGTGTTTTGTTTTGTTTTTTTTAAATCACTGTGATGGTAATAAACTTGAAGTGGATTGAAATAAAGCTGCCTGAACACTCGAGGACTAGAAGCTTTCGGAAACTGTCAGAGTTCATTGAAGTTCTTTCATTTTGTCAGAGCATGGAATTAATGAGGCAAAGGTTGAAGACCCAAAACGTGAACTCGTTGAGAACTTAAAGTAATTAAGTTCTTAGGGAAAATTCTTGTGTCATCTTGACAGCCTTAAGCCGAGCAGGGACAGGAGGAATCACCAACCCCAAAAAAAAAAAAAAAAAACTTCCAAGAGGACAAACCTAGAAAGCATATGTTATCCTGTTGAACTGTGTATCTCAATATATACCAAAGACAGCAAAGACAACTAGAAAGCAACTCCATTTCTACACAGACTTAAACAACACAACTACAGGGCTTCCCTGGTGCCTCAGTGGTTAAGAATCCGCCTGCCAACGCAGGGTACACGGGTTCGACCCCTGGTCCAGGAAGATCCCACATGCTGCAGAGCAACCAAGCCCGTGCGCCACGACTACTGAACCTGCGCTCTAGAGTCCGCGAGCCACAACTACTGAGCCTGCGCTCTAGAGCCCGCGGGCCACAACTATGGAAGCCCACGTGCCTAGAGCCCGTGCTCGACAACAAGAGAAGCCACCGCAATGAGAAGCCCGCGCACAGCAACGAAGAGTAGCCCTTACTCGCCGCAACTAGAGAAGGACCGCTCGCGGCAACGAAGACCCAACGCAGCCAAAAATAAATATAATAAAATAAATAAATAAACAACAACTACAAACAAAGAAGTTGCGAGAATGATTCTGGTGCTTACACGAATGATTCGCATTAGTTAAGAGCCTTCGCAGCTGAAAAGTCATTTCCTGGGACTATAATGATCCCACTAGTATCACCTGGTATATACAGGAGGTGTTTCCAATATATCTCACTTAAAGTAACTTGCCCTGTCACGCTGCTAGTTAAGCAATGAAGCCAAGGCCCGGCCCACCTCCTCTGACTTGAGTCGGGTTTTCCCCATTACATTTGACTGTCTAAAGAGGATTTAAAATATACTGTTTATCTGCTTTCTCTACCCTCCCTGCAGAATTGAGAGAATGTCTGAAAGATACAATTTCACAAGAATCTTGGCACCTAATCTATTTATTGTTGAGAGATGACGAATATGACTTCAAGCAAAAACAAAACTTTCTCAACAGTCAAGAAAAAGCGGGGGGTCGGGGAAGGGCAATTCCTCTACCCAAGTTCAATCAAAGGATTTACAAGTCTTCGTGACAATCCAGGTTAAAGGAATATAAAGTGAAAAGCCAAGAGGAAGAACTTTCGCACTAGACTGCTTTCTCAGAAGTAACCCCAACTCCCTGCCCTTCTCCCTGCCACGAGCCACAGGAGTGCGGGGTCGGGGCGCCTGGGCCACCGACGTGGGGCCTGGGGGTCCCCGGCTGTCCCGGGCCAGGCCGGAGAGTGAGGACCCCAGCGCGGGGGCCGCGCTGACAGCTGGCGGGCCGAGAGCGGGGGCGCGGCGCGGGACCAGGGGCCGGGTGGGGAAGGAGGAAGCGAGCCAGGGGCGCGGGCGCCCTCCTAGAAGGGCAGGGAGACAGGAGGGCAAAAGGGCGGCGGGGCGGGCGCGCCGGCGGAAGGGGCAGCGGGCCGGGACATGGGGCCCGCGGCGCCCCGGGACGCGGTGCGGGCCAGGGGAGGGACGTCCCGAGCAGGCGGGGCGGGCACGGGCGACGAGGGTTCGGGGTGCGCGGGCCGCCCCCCCGCCCCCCCAGACCCGGACCCCAGGGGCGGGACCGGCCGGACCCCACACGGCGGCCGCGGCCAAGGGAAGGGCGCGCCAGGCACCTGCCGCCTCCGCCGCGGCGGCCCCAGGCGCGCTCGGTTCTCACCTCTTCGGTTCATGGGCCGGATCCGGACGGCCACTTTCACTTTGGAGTCCCCCATCCTGCCGCCGCCGAGGCTCTCGCTCGGCTTCCGTCTGCCGCGGCCACCGGGCAACTCTTCGGGGCTGACCGGGCGGGAGGGGGCTACGGGCGAGAGGGGCGGGGCATGGGCGGGGCCTGTGGAGGGGCGGGGCCGACTCGGGGCTCCCGGCGGCGCCTCCCGCTGCATGACGGGACTTGTAGTCCCTGTAGGTGGTCGCGGGCAGAGCTGCAGAGGTCCGGTGCGCTTCCCTCTCTGGAGCTTGTAAATACCCCTCTGTTTCTACACAATTCTTACTTACCCTTGCAGTTAGTACTGAGACGTAAGCTGTCGATGAGCTGATATCTCACCTGAAAACAAACAGTTGAATAGATGGCACTGGAGACACTGCGACCTCTTTCAGACTCATTTCCTACCAATCTTAGTGTTTGATCCCTGGCTCAAATTATTTCCTCTGCCTGGCTTGCCCTCCCGGCCATGTTTGCTGAAATCAGCCTTCAAGACAAGTCAAAAGTCTCCTCTTCTGGAGGTCTTCATAAATCCACAGGTTACCCTATACCAACCCACCCTCTGCCCCACTTCCAGTCAAGACCTTGGGCTCTGGCATCAATCTGGGTTCAAACGCGCCCTTAGCACTTTCCAACTGTGTGACCAAGGCAAGTGATTTGACCACTCTATGCTTGTCTTTTCATATGTAAATGAAATACCTACTTTATGGGATTGTTGTTGAGGTTCAGTGAGTTAATGTAGGTAAAGCTCTTAAAACTCCCAGGCACATAAGTGCGCAATAAAAGTCATTATTTTTGCTCTGTCATAGCATTTATGCTGCAACTATTTATGTCTCTCTTATTTTGTATTTTTAAAACCGTATCTTATATGTGTAGCCTAGCCTGTAGTAGAGACCCAGTAAACATTTATTGCATGAATGAATCAATGACTCAGTGAAGCCACACTAAAATGTGCTTTTTGTTAAGCCCTAGCAGAAATGCTAACTGGTGGCCTGTGGGCAAGATCTGACCTGCAAACATGTTCTGTTTGGCCCAACGTTATTGGCCAATGCATGAAAACTGGGAGAGTTTTACATGCAATGCTGGGCCTACATTACATATTGGGAATATCAATAGGAAATGAGTAGCAGTGGCCACCTTTATAAGAGGCAGTTCTGCTTGGATATCTTTAAATGACAGAACAGAACTCAGAACAATTTTACAGATGAGTAAATACAGAAAGCTGGCAAGACTTGCCCTTTTACCAATCATCCTATTGTTGAAAGAGCTTCAATACAAGCAGAGTTGTCCAACAGGTTAAAAACACATTTAAGAGACTATATAGCACAGGGAACTATATTCAATATCCTGAGATAAACCATAATGGAAAAGAATATAAAAAAGAATATATATATGTATGTGTGTGTGTGTGTATATATATATATATATATATACATATGTATATATGTATAACTGAATCACTTTGCTGTACAGCAGAAATTAACATGACATGAAATGAGCCAGACACAAGAAAAGCAAGCCCTGTATGACTGCACTTATATGAGGTACCTAGAATAGTGAAATTCAGAGACAGAAGGTAGAATGATGGTTGCCAGGGGCTGGGAAGAAAGGGAATAGGGAGTTAGTGTTTAATGAATACAGAGTTTCTGTTTGGGAAGATTAGAAAAGTTCTGGTGACGGATGGTAGTGATAGTTGCACAACAATGTGAATGTACTTTATGCCACTGAACTGCACACCTGCAAATGGTTAAAATGGTACCTTTTAGGGCTTCCTTGGTGGTGCAGTGGTTGAGAGTCCGCCTGCCGATGCAGGGGACACGGGTTCATGCCCCGGTCTGGGAAGATCCCA